ATAGAGAACATACAGTAGAGCCACAGTATAGAGAACATACAGTAGAGCCACTCCATTGAATTTTTCGTGTCATGCATATCTTATTACGCAAGTGATTACCATATGGGCAGCCAGTCAATTGCATTGTGTGACCGATAGGATTGACGATATGGCAAACGGCAGCCTGTAAATTAATTAAACATACAGCAGCCAGTTGCACGGCGAAGTAGCCCTACTCAGAGCTCTCTATTTGTAAGAGTTGAGACAACAGTCTGGGGCGAGCGCAGAGCCGCCATTTTCGTTCCTACTTGCAATATAAACTTATAATGAAACTGTGTGAAATCGGCTAAATGAGCAAAAGAATAAAGCAATTCTGCCTTTTTTAATGGAAATTTTAAATATATCGGACTCCACAATGAAGCTTTTGGGGTTTTCGTGAATAATTACTGCAAACCAAACTCAATTTTATTGATTTGAGCTACATTTGTGGTTGATTAGTTCGTGCCTTTATCGTGCTTTGAAACTAATCTTGACCCATTGCTAAGCGTTTTTACGTATTTGAACGTATCTTCTGGTAGTTTTCAACAGCAGCATCAAGATATTTGTTTTCATTGCTTATTATTTTGCCAGCCATAAAGACAATACTCGACATTTTGGTTGCATATTTTGGTCAGGAAAACACGTTACTACACACATACATAGGTCCAGATCTGAATCATTGCTTTGGCAGGTATAGGGTAAGTCAAAATAAATCACTGCAGCTCATTTTTGGTTATATTTACATTTCGAGCATGTGCAACTCTCGACCTTCGGTCTCGGGCTTGCATAGATCTGCTCTCGAATTCTCCCAAAGGTCTCCTCGGTTTGCATAAGCCTGTGCAAACACAATAAACATCTTTTATTTCTTAAATATAGATGCATACTTTTTGTAGTTTCTGCGCCACTGGTAGACGATAATTCATCGTCATTAAAATACGTTTCTTTCCTTATCGGTTGATGTAGAGTGTTTCAAATAATTTGTACAAGCTGTATATCTAATTTATATTATAAAAGATAAATTCTCAGCAGTATATTATTATACTGGATATTTAATCATAAGCGTAAATTTGAACTTTATTGTCATTGCTTTCGATCGGTTGTCTGCTTCTCTAACGGCTCAGGTGTACCAGGAAAAACAATGATCCGATGCATTTCTCGTCAATATTCTTTGCTATTTAACTTGCACTTTCTAATTACAGTCGAAACAAAAATCCTCAAAAAGTGCAGAACAAGCGATCGAGGTAGAGAAAGTCTCAAAGTTTGTCAAGGTTATTTGATACTTATCCGCTGAATTTATTCATTTCCCCTGTCCTTGCCACTTAATTTCTTTGTTAGGAAACAAGTGAATTGATATTTCTTCATTTATTGAGTAATTGGCGCAAGTAACTTAATTAGGTCGGCCAGTAACACAACTTTTTCCATCGCATTTTTTGTATAGATTACTAGTGAAATACGCCATGATGATTCGATGTGCTCAACTATTTACGTCACACCCAGCCTCTTACCCAGGCGCTTTGATATTTTGCTTTGAACTATTTGATACTGTAGTTGCGCGGGACGACATGCGTTAGCAAAAAATGGGAAATCGCTTCCACACGTAATCGGCTTGTTAAAGTCACGCAAATGCGCGATGCCCACACACGCCATGTGAAGCGCCTGGGTACGAGGCTGTGTTACACCCTCTGGTCACACCCGTTAACAAACCATCAAAACGTTTGCAAAAATATGGCTGAAAATCGCAACTTTGAACGTTAATAAAATCACTTCTGGAAATCAGAGTTGAATTATAATTGCAGAAATGGAATCCCCAAAAGCTAGTCTAGTCTTTTAATTCAGCTACTAAATAGGGAGAAGGGCTAAAATTCGTAATATAAACACTTTAACATATTGAACATCTTTTTTAATCAGTAAAATCTTTAATCAAAGTAAGATGAGGATCCGCTAGTTATGAAAAATGTACTTTTGCTTTTTTCTTGTTTAACTTAAATCTTATGTTTTGGCACTTTATCTTAATGTTACCCTGTTAAACTTTTTTGCTGATGAGCAGTCCTTTTTGATTGCATGTATACAATGAATCAGTGGTGTACTAGGAAATACTTTATAATTAAGTACAACAATAATTCAGAGAGCAACTCTAAACTTGGAAAATCTAACGTTGAACTTGTTCACTACAGTATCCAAATCCATGCAGTTCCCTCCCTTGATCACAATAAATTTTTAACATCATTAGCTGTCCAGATGCTTGATGGTGATTTATCACGGGCAGTAGCCGTTATACGTGTAAAACTTTCAAAATCTTATGCCCATTGCTGATTTAAAACTCAAAATTCTAAAGTTGAGTTTTCCAAAAAACAACCGACAGAAAACCAATTGCGGGCGAGCGTTGCGGCGTTTACACATGGAAATTTATCTCATGTGACATTTGCATATCTGTTCTCTAATGGACATTCAAAAGCAATCATTTCACAAAAAATAATTTATTTTTTCTAAATTTGATGTCGGATAGCTGGCGTGCATGACGATTAGTGTCAATGCTAAATGCTAACATTACTACAAACCATTGAACTGAACAAAAGTTTTATTGCTCTTTCTAAAAGGCTATTCAAGTTTTTGGGTGCCTGGAGCATTGCAATATTATACAGTTGTTATCTCCAATACCTTTATTTAACATTTCAAAACTTTAGATAAAAACGGTCTCCCCATCCTCGATACTTTTTGTGTATAAGAGCCCATTCCCCCATGATTCAAGCCTTCCTTAACTTAAACAAACTTTCGCGACTTATGTGTGATTTAAACACATTTTAATCAGCGTCTGCCTTTTTTGTCACAGAGTCAGAGGTAGAATTTAGAATCGTTTTCAAAATTTAAATCGCCAAAACTATGGAAATATTTTAAAAAGTAAATCTTTCACAGCTAAAAACAGTGACGTACTCCGTACAAAACTTTGATGATTGTTCAATAGAAAATCTTCTTTAAAAAGCCTAAAGATCTTTTTCCTTCGTTAGCATAGTCAATTATAAAAGAGCATTGTCGAAGTATCACAAAAATGGGCAATTAATTTGTTAGGGTTTTTTGAGGGAAGGAGCTTAGTCGGGGCGAATCTAGAACGCTAGTGGGCATATATTTATCGCTGCCCTGCTGGTTTCTTTTGGAATTAACATCGCAAACAAAACAAATCAGCAGGGAAGAGGTGAATATATTAATATATACCCCCCAACTAACGTTCTAGTTTCGCCCCGGTGCTCAGTCCGCCAATTTTACGTTTACAAACAGTCGGGAGGAGTTTAACCCTACTCGCCCGGGTTTTTGACGCTCTATGAAATCACAACGTCGACAACTGCCATGTTGACAGGTAATGTTTAGTATCGGAGATCATATGAAATATGCACGCATTGCTTTTAACTTTCTTCAAAACCAGCAACTTTTTCTGCGGAGCAATCATATAGTCATGTTTTGAACGGAACACATCATTGTAATTAAAAACTCTGTCAGTTTTTACTGAAAAACAATTATTGTTACGCTGAAAATGGGTCTTTTGTAAGGAAGACTGTTTTGTTTTAACATTGAAGTAGTTAAATTACGCGACAAAACCCACTGGTTCTGTGAAATCATTGTGCTTTTCATAAATATACTAGCTTCATATTTAGATATTTGACTCATATATTTTTTTTTATGCATACAGCCTTTTTGCTTACTTTGTACATGCCATGATGAAGTTTAGATTTGCAACAAAGGAACGAATGAATAACAATAAAGCCTTCATAGTTGCTCGATCAGAAAAATCAACTACTTTGCTTCATTATTATATACTTCATGTTTTAATACTGTTAACATAATACAATATAACATAAAGTATTTCATTTGTTAAAGTTAATGTTAATTTAGTTCATTAGATATAGATCATTGGACACGTGACAATTGAACGATTTTACATACATCCTGTATATATATATTTTTGTTGTTCTTAGTAGAAAAAGATTATTGTGAAATCAATACTAATCTTAGAATAAAGTTTATAATCTAACAGGTTATGGTCCCAGAAATAGTTCAGTAATAGTAAAGAAATAGTCCAAGACCGTATTTATGTATAGTCAATAAAGTGGCTTGTGTTCGATGGAACAGCCGAAAACTATCCGGCATGGAGCACAAAGTTTACTGCATATATGCAAACGAAAGGTTTGTACAAAGCACTCATTGGGAGAGATGTCATACCCCAAGAAGATACACCATTAACAGTCGACGCTACAAGTGAGCAAAGGGCCGAATGGGAAACAAAAGTACAAGAGAGAAATCAACAAATTGATGAAATTAAAGAAAGAAACAACACGGTATGGTGTCATATTGCATTAGCTCTTGACAACAACAGTCTTTAATACATACGACATGACTGCTTGTCGCCAGATGGTGTCGGAGACGGAGCAAAAGCGTGGCGTCTACTGCAACAAAGATTTTCTAACGTAGAAAAACCAACTGTAGTAAGTCTAGATCGACAAATATCTCGATTGCAATTAGGTGAAAGTGAAAAGTTATCCGAATACTTTATACGATCACAAGAATTAGGGGCCGATTACATGGACCGAGTTGTCCCGACAAGGTGAGTTGTCTCAGGCATCCGGGTTAGCTTTTTTCAAGCGATTACATGGACCGAGTTGTCCCGGCAGGGTTAGTTCTCTAGGGTACTCGGGCTCCTGGCTCCGGGAGAGACTTTGAATTTCTTGCGGGAAAATATGGCGAACATTTTGTAAACAATGAATTTTTCGCATCACTTCATTCTTGTTTCCTGTCTACTTTTTCAATTTTATTGTTTCATTTACTTATGGGCAGCACACGAGCAATACGTTCACAGAGTTTTTTATAGTTACTATGCCACAAAAAAATCAGTAGCTGAGAAAAAAGCACGATACATAAGAGCTAGGAAACTTAGTCGGAAAAAGCGAGCTATATGGACCAAAAAAGGAAGAACTGACTTATGGTGGAAGAATATGTTTGATGGAGTTACCCCAGATGATGAGTGGAAGCGAAACTTTAGAATGTCGAAAGAGCGATTTTTTCAATTGTGCGAGGAGTTGCGACCTTACATTTCTGAAGGAATAAACACTCCAAATTATAGGTCACTCTCTCGTGAAAAAAAACTCGCTATCACTTTATATTACCTAAAAGACACTGGTTCTATTTGGATGACGGCGAATGCCTTTGGTGTTCATCAATGTACAGTTTCTAAAATCGTTTTAGCTGTTTGCAATGCAATTTGTATACATCTTTGTCCAATATATCTGCACCTTCCACAAACGGTAGTGCAAATGAGGAAAAAAGTGGCTGAGTTTGAAACAAGGTTTGGCATTACTCAGGCATTTGGCTGCATTGATGGTACTCACATTCCCATTCAAAGACCACTGGTTGATTCTCAAGATTACTTCAATTATAAACAGTTTTTCTCCATTAATGTTCAAGCTGTTTGTGATTCAAATGGCTTATTCATGGATGTTGACTGCAGGTGGCCTGGCAGCGTCCATGATGCAAAAGTATTTTCAAACTCATTCATAAATAATGAACTAAAATTGGGAAGATTACCACAAACCTTCACTCATGTTTTACCTGGTCATGACAAGATACCTAACTACCTCATAGGTGACCCAGCATATCCTTTAACACCCAACTGCATTAAAGAATACCAATCATGCTTAAGCAATGATTAGGTAGTTTTTAACAACATGCTAAGAGCCGCAAGAAACTCAGTAGAATGTGCATTTGGCCGCCTAAAGGCTAGATGGTCAATTTTGACAAGAAAAATGAACCTTAAACTGGATGCAGTACCAAAAGTTATTTTAGCTTGTTTTGTTCTCCATAATTTTTGTGAGATGCATAATAGAGACATGGATGAGGAGATTGTCCAAAATCAAATAGCTAGGAACAGAGATGAAGAAATAGCCCACAAAAACAGCCCAGATCCAGTGTACTCAAGTACCACCAGGGAAGGAGAACTAGTCAGAGACACACTTAAACAATATGTTAATGCACATTTGCTTTACTAGTCTTTTTAATATTCTCAAAGCAACAGTTTTTTTCTTCAAATTTCATGTTTAATTCATAAACAAAGAACATTTGTTCCACTCTAACAAGAACAATGTAACATAAAGAATTACTCAGTAAGAATTCAACATAAAAAATAAAACAAGCATGATGTTTTTAACAAATAAAATGTTAAAAGTCAATATTGATGTTGATGTGGTTGCAAGGGTTCTCCATTGCTTTCTGCATGGGGAATATAGAAAGACTGGCCAGACATATCAGGTGGAAATATGTAATTAGAGGTATTAATACCTTGGTGAAACTGTGGCATAAGATTTGTGGACTGCATTCGATCTGATGGGTATGGTGGCCTGATGTGCTGTGACGATTCACATGATTTTTGAATTGAAGAAGCAAGAGCAGTCATTGAAGCACTAATTGCCTTCAAAGACTCTGCAAATAATAAATTGGATTCTTTCAAGGAATTTGATATCTCTTTACGAAATTGTTGTTCATCTTTTGATTCTTGCATCAAGATTTTGTCGCGTTGGGAAGCTGATAACTGACGTTCCATCTGCCTACGTTTGTTATCAATCAATGTGGGTACCACATTCATTTTCCACTTGCCTCTTATTGCTTCATGCTTTTCTTTCTCACTAAAAGTATTCTCGCTTTCTGCTATGGATTCATGATGAGAACTATCAGATATGCAAAAAGATTCTTCAATTTCATCAGACAAAGTTGTATTAAAGTCATTAATTTCCCAGCCTTCCTCATCTTCTTTTTCTGCAGATTGTACACCAAATTGCAATGGTTCTGTTGCAGGTGATCCTCCCCATATTTTGACCATAACATCATAAAACTCCATAACCATTTTTCCTGAGCCTGATCTTGTACCTGAGGTAACAGCATTACTAAATTTCTGTCGCAGATGTTTTATTTTTTCTTGAACTCGAGTATATCCTCGTCGAATTTGGGCTTTGAATTTTTCACATGACCTTGTATAATCCTCCTTATTGTCTTCTTCAGTATATGCAGGAATCTCTGTCGGCCCAAACAATGAACCGTCACGATATTTGTTGGCCAAAATAATTCTAACTGCTTCATATTGTTTAACTTTGTCTGCATTGAAGTCTGAGTTTCTACACTCCATTTTAGATTTGTACTCAAGCAACCCTTCCAGTAAATCCTTAACCATTTCTAACGTCCATTGAAAGCGATTATCTATGTCGATCGTGGCAGATTTTTTAGATTTTTTACTTTTCTTTGATTTATCGTTTATAGAGGTTTGCGCCATTTTGCAAATTTAAACTAAGTGCGCATGCTTCACACAATAGCTTTCAACTCGCTTACCCGGGGCAACTCGGGAAAAAGTGATTACATGAGCGAACGAGACAATTTTCATCCCGGATAACCGAGTTGTCCCGGCTTTCAACAGCCGATATCCCAGCAAAGCGAGTTGACTCGTTTCCCATGTAATCACAATGCTGTTTTTAATAGTAATTATAAAAGAGGCCGCGGTATCGGTAAAATTGTCTCACCTCGGCTAACCGGGACAACTCGGTCCATGTAATCGGCCCCTTAATGTGTCGACTCACTGAAGCCGGAGAAAATATATCAGAAACATTATTTAATGCTCTAGTCATTAATGGACTTCCAGAAAATTTTGAACACTTCGTGGTTCAAGAAAGTTTTAATCCAGCAGCTAACTTCTCAGAACTGAGAACTGGACTACAAAACTATGAAGATAGTCGGATTCAAAGAATGCAAGAAGAAGATAGCGCAATAGCAATGCATTCTGGAAATGCATCAGGCAAAAACAAAGCCCTAATCAAGCAAAAAGGAATTTGTTATGTTTGTGGACTCCCTGGTTATTTTGCCAAGCAATGTAGTAAAGGAAGTTCAGCTTTCTGTTCAAAGTGCAAGAAAAAGGGACATCTATCAAAAGCATGTAGGAGTCAGAGTTAAACCAAAGAACCTTCAACAAGAGGACCAAATTTATTCTCATCATACTCTCAATGCATGAACAGTGGCACTGGAATAAATAATGACAGTAGAAGATTGAATTATATCATCATTGATACCGGTTGCACAGATTACATCATTCCTGAAAAGGAACTATTCGACAGCTTAAAACCATGCAATACCAAAATGTTAAGGATCCAAAGGGAAAATTAACATTTATCGAAGGTATTGGTGACGTACCAGTAAAGCTTCTATTGAAAAATGGGCAAGAAGTGGTGATGGTACTGCGAAATGTCCTTTATGTGCCAAATTATGAAGTAAATCTACTCTCCGTCAACCGAGCTGTCAAATTTGGACATAAGTTCGTATTCAAAAGAGTGAAGCAAAGTTGATGTTAAATCATGGTCCAGAAATTGCTCTAAACAAAAATGCAGGTTTATTTTATCTGGAGATCATATTCCAAAGATCCAGCTCCTGTATTTTCATTACAAGCAACCAGAATAAAAGAGAAATCAAAGGAAATTTTCAACTGTGGCATCAACGTCTCGGACATTTGAACAAAAATGATGTCAAACGCACCGTTAACTGCGAAGACAAATTAAAGAAAGTGTGTGAATCGTGCACTTGGAAAGCAATCATGCAAACCTCTACCTAAAGAAGCTCACAATAAGTCCCAGAAACCACGCGAACTGGTATACACAGATATTCTTGGTCCATTTGAAGTGCCTAGCCTCAGTGGATGCAGATATGCAATTACCTTTGTGGACGAATACTCGAAGTATGCAGTCGTTAAATTCATGAGCAAGAAAGCACAAGCATTCGAAAAATTTAAAGAGTACGTAGCAGAATCAGGATTACCTCGAAAATTGAGAAGCGATAATGGAGCAGAATATACATCGAAGCAATTCAAAGCTTACTGTATAGAATCAAAAATAAAGCAGGAATTTACGGTACCCGAAACCCCGCTACGAAATGGAGTTGCCGAACGCTATAATCGAACTCTAGTTGAAATGGGACGATGTCTATTAATCCAAGCACAGTTACCAAAACGTTATTGGGTAAGAGTCTTATCCACAGCATCTCATATCAGAAATCTCACCGTTACTGCTAACAGCGAACAAGGTAAAAGTCCTTTCGAGCTATTCACCGAAAAAACGCCAAGATTAAATCATCTACGCACTTTTGGCTGCACAGCATACGTCATGAAAAGGAAGATCAACCTAAAGAAATTGGATTCAAGATCTGTGAAAGTAAAATTTATCGGTTACGATGACAAAAGCACGGCTTACATCCAGCATAAAAACGAATCAATCAAAGTCATCAAAGCACGCAATGTTGTCTTCAAAGAAAGTGAAATTCAACCTTTTTCAGCAAAAGATACAATAATCCAGAACAACCAAATCTTATGAGCCCCAACATGGATTTCGACGATGATCGTTCGAAAGATGAGAAAACAAAGGAACCGATTCATGATGAAGGGGGGGGGGGGATAATGTACCTATACCCGCTGTTCAACATCAGCAAGAAGATGAAGAAAATCCAGAGGAAGAAATCTCGCTTCCTAGAGAAAGCAGAAATCGGCGGCCACCAGAAAGGTATGGATTATACTATACGTTCAACACAACTAATGAAGAAAGCGTACAAGAACCCAAGTCTTATCGTAAAGCAATTAATACACCGCACGCTGAAAACTGGAGAAAAGCGATGAAAGCAGAATATGATTCACTAATGGACAATAACAGATGGACAATAGTGAACGAACCAGAGAATATGCAAGTCTTACCAGGAAAATGGGTATATAAAGTAAATTATGGAGCAGATGGTCAAATCGACAAATATAAAGCAAGATATGTAGCCAAGAGTTATGCTCAAGTCGAAGGCTTAGACTTTTTTGATACTTACGCTCCAACATGTAAACCCGAAACTTTTCGAATCCTGCTCGCAATGACAGCACAAAAAGATCTACATATTGGCCAGATGGATGATAAATCAGCATACCTTCACTCCAACATAGAAGAAGAAATTTATCTAGAACAACCAGAAGGTTTTCCCAAGAAAGCAAAATCAGGACGAAAGCAAGTTTGCAAGCTAAACAAATCATTCTATGGATTGAAACAAGCGGCAAAGAATTGGTATGAAGCACTGGCTCGTATACTTATTAAAGAAAAATTCAAACGTAGCTGCAACGATTATTGTTTATTTGTGAGAAAGGAAGAAGATGGAACATCCTCATACGTATTAGTTTGGGTAGACGATATTCTAGTGGCTGGTACGAGTGAAAAAGCAGTTAATCATATCAAATCAATGTTGAGCGAAAATTTCAAGATGGACGACCGTGGCATACTACACTGGTTCTTAGGAATGCGAATTCTACGATCTCACGACAAGATTACCGTTGACCAAAAGAAATACATCGAATCTGTTCTTCAACAATTCAACATGAGTGATTGTAAAGCAGTAGCAACACCTGGAGAAGTAAATCTGAAGCTAGTCAAAAGCAACGACGATCAGAAGTTAGTCGATGCAAGGTTATACAGAAGTTTAGTTGGTTCATTACTATTTATTGGTAAATAAACCCGTCCAGATATCCTTCACATTGTTAATCAGCTATCAAGATTCCTAGATAAACCAGACATGTCACATTGGAAAGCAGCAAAGCACGTATTAAGATATCTTAAAGGAACTATCGATTTACAATTAACATTCTTGAAGAATTCCAATC